AACGTGCTTGAGGTGTGGACCCTGTAGTGTAGACATAGCCTAAGAGAGAGCTGTTGGAAACTGATCAGTGAACAGCACATGAGGCTTTACAGATTATATAAAATGCAAATATAATCCTGTTTCTTGTTGGAGGAACATTGTGTCACTAAGATTGTCATACCTGTCTCACAATTGACCCACAGTAAGTAACTCCTTTAATTTCTTAGATTCTTAGTTCTTTGGGAAGGAACCATGTTAACTTTATGTTTTGTACAGGATGAGAGGGGACACCAGGACTTCTGGGGTCTCAAGCCATGAGCACAGTCTGAATGTGCAATGCCAGACAATCATGAAGAAATGTATTTTGCCATAATATCCATCACAGCATTCTGTTTTTGTTTGGAAAATACTGAATATAAGAATCAAACTGGTTGCTGCACCCAGCTGCAAATCACACTGCTTGCTGATTTCCATCACTATCAGGCATGGCGTTAAACCAAGCTATTCTGGAAACAGTGATGACTGAATGAATTTGGGCAATGCTAGTATCCCTACCAGTAATTTGTCGGCACCACCAAAGGTCTCTGGGTGTTGTTGATACTGTTAGACTATTTAAAACAAACCACTCATCACACAGTTAGAAACATCTGTTTGAAAACTGAGGATCCTATTTAGCAAATATTCAGAGTTCTACGGCTCTACCTACAGAGGTTCTAGAAGCTTCTAGAACTTAACCTAATCCTGATTCAGGACCCAAAATTATATGTTATTTATATAAATATTTGCACAGCTTGGATGCTTTGGGCACCCTCTCCACTTGATTCCTGGGAATTACACATATACGCCTCTCTGTAGCTCAGATACATACAAAGTGACCCACATGAATGACTGCTGAATAGCTCAGCTGAGCATTGGCTTATAGTAGTGGTTCTCAAAGTGTGATCCATAGACCACTAGTGGTCTGTGACCATCTTGAAGGTGGGCTGTGGGCTCAGGGCTTGCCCTCCCCACACTCACTGGGGAGCCTGTGCTGACAGTCCAGCCCCGTGGCCCCCCCATCTGTGAGGTTGAAATGCCAGATGCATTTCCCGCTGCAGAGGAGAGGGTGCTGAGCTTCATGGGCAAGATGCGGGAAGGAAGCAGCTCTGCATGCTGCTGTGCCCCTTCCTCCCGGCTGGGGGAAAGGCAGCATAGGAAACCGCTCACCTGGAGGTTTTCCTTGCTTCTTCCATTGGCTTGAATCATGGCCAATGGGAGCAGTGGGGGTGGTGCTTGGAAGCATTGGGAGGTACAGAGCCAGGTAAGTGCCCCCCATATTCCTCATGCCCAGATCCTGTACCCCCACCCCCTCCTGCACTCTCCCTCCCTCCAGGACCCCACACACTCACCCTGCTGCTGCACCTTCTCTCATTCCTAGACCCCTCAATCCCAGTCCGCTCCTGCACCCTACCTTCTGAACAAACCCCACACCTTCACCCTCTCCCGCATCATTCTATCATCATAGGTGGTTGGCTAGAGGTCCGCACAAAGGTCTACATTGAGCTGGGTGGCCCATGGGCCAAAAAGTTTGAGAACCACTGGCATAGAGAATAGCAACAATATCAGCTAGATTCTGCCAGACTTCTCTTTTCTATAGACAAGATCTCTGCGGCCCATTGCCCTGGACGAGGGAACTATAGGTTAGATGGAAGGGCATGTATGACCTCTGCTAACAGACACTGTCATGCTGGTTTCCAGAGTTCCATGAGGGCTCTGGCAAGCCACTCGTGTACTTGTGTCACTAGAGCTAAGAACAAGGGCTCTGTTTTCCAAGTCCAGTTTACGTGGAGCAAAGTGCAGGGTTGGCTCTGGCCTGTTATGGACAGGCATAAAGTGTCACTGACAATGTCCCCTGTAAACTGTGCAGTTGTGCAGCCACTCAGGTGAAATTCAAGTTAGGGATGACAGACAGCAGGTAACAGAATAGGGGTATGTCTACACTACCACCCTAGTTCGAACTAGGGTGGTTAATATAGACAACCGAAGTTGCAAATGAAGCCCGGGATTTAAATATCCCGGGCTTCATTTGCATCTTGCCGGGTGCCGCCATTTTTAAAGCCCCAATAATTCGGACTCCGTGCCTGCAGCTACACGGCCCAGGGAGATAGCTCTTTATTTGTATTATCTTACATTGTTCTTTGCTCAGCCTCCAGCTCAGATATATCTAAAAGTGGTAAATCTTCAAACTCTGCCACACAGATTATTCTATACATTAATGGTACAGAAAGCATACAGTCCTAGTGACCCTGACACACTATATACAAACACTGGGTCTTGAGCAATCAGCTGCTATATGGGATGGCTGTGCTTCTGTCTGATCTAGTCTCAGGTGCTTCTATTGGATCGAGTGGAACATGTGCAAGTTAAGATCATAAAGCCTACTTGATACGTGGCCGGGGGTAGGTCCTGAGGAATAAGTAGTAGCTGGAAATTATGCTGGGACTGTTTCCTATAATAATCTACTCAGGGTTTTTTTTCCCCCCTTTTTACTACTATTGTATTTGTTTTAAAGAATGCAAGGCACTCTATGCTTCCCGGGGGCAGGGCCGGCATCCAGTGTGCTCCAGCCCCACTCCTGGGGAACCCCATGTCATCCTGTGCAGCTGCCTTTGTATCAGAGGCAGCAGCCCAGAGAGCCAGGTGAGAGCTGTTCCATGACTGGAGCCAGTTTAAAAACCAGCTCTCCTCTCGCACTGAGGCTGCTGGGGGGAAGGGAGGGTTGGCTGCAGAGAGAAGCTGCTTCGGCAACATCCAGAAGGGTCAGATGGCTCTGCAGAGCTGGTATTGGGGGGAACCAGCTTTTAAGCTGACTCCCACTGCCCCTCCCTTGCTGCCTCTGACACAGAGGCAGAGAGCGGGGGAAGAGGGAGCGGGAGGAGGGATGCAAGTAGTCGACTAGATTAACTGATAAGCTTAGCCAGTGGTCCTCCACCTTACTCCATGGGGCTAGAACACCAAGGGAGTGAGGTGTCTCAGTTGGGGGCCACATGAGTGAAAGTTTGGGGGTGGTGGCGGAAGGTTTTGTTTTGCTTCTCACTTGTGTGGTTCCCAACTGATTTTTCTGTGGTTCAGTGGCTACCAGCCCAAAAAAGTTTCCCTGCCCCTGCCATAAATAAAGAAAACATCAAAACCTTTTGTGTTGAACATAAATTAATATTTCACATTATTTAAAATGAAGATTGGTAAACTAACATGAGAAAGCTAAATGCTTAATCTGTTTAATAATTTAATTTAATATTTCCTTTCTTACTGGTTAAATTAAATGGTTCTCCTGAGTTACACCATTAGCAAAATTGCTTATAATTAGGTAATTAATGGTAAGTTTCCATTAGCAACTGGTGGTCACTGGAATGGTTTGCACTGAGCCAGGTGGGCCAAGGGCCAAAAAATTCGAGAACCATTGACTTAGACTTATCAGTTAATTGAGTAGTTGACTACTCGTTCACATCTCTAATTCAAATGCCACCCTGATGATTAGCCGAGCACTCACAGCTAAGTTTTGTTTCTACCAGTGGTGTACATAAAAATGTATTCCGCACATGAATGGGAAAGATTGGAGGAAACACTGGTCATTGATCATGTCTTCAGCTTCTCAGTGAGCCCAAAGCTTTGTATGTTGAATTCTGCCACCTTGCTTGGACTGTTTTCAGGTGCCGTCATCTTCCATTCCATTCATGCAAGCAGTTTGTGGGACCCATTATCAAACAAAATCAGATAAGGAGATGTGGTCCCAATAGGATGCTGCTACAGGGGCTTCCTGGAACGTGCTAGCTATCTACTAAAGTCATCTATTGTTGACACCTATAAATTAGCAAAACTGCCATATTGTTGTAAGCACTCACAATTATTTTCTAATCGACACAATATACATCGAGAGGCTGCCAACTGATCATACCTCTGCATAACTTCTGGGCATTATGGCTTGGCTGCTGGCTAGAAATATCCATTTGACAGGCCTTCCCATGCTTCTGTGCTGAGGGTTACAACACAGGTTGTTAACAGGCTACCATATTTATACCCATAAGCCTCTGGAAATGGATGTGAACATGTATCACCAGTTAGACAATAAATAGAATCATAGGACTCATGGCAGGACTACATATTATCTAGACCAGTGGTTCCCAACCTTTCTTATACTGCAAACCAGCAAACCCATTCACAAACTTCTGGTGGACCAGTAACATTTTATTTGAATATTTGCATAGCCATGAACAAGGCTTGACAATTACTGTAATCTACTTGCCCATGGCGAGTCTGCGCATGTGCAGCGTGCTGCAACGGCTGGCGAGTGGGGCTTGCTGCAACTTGGCGAGCCCTGGCCATGAATATGCAAAGATGCAAATAAAATGTTACTGGTCTGCCAAAAGCCGGGGCTCTCAGAGCTGCTGCAAAGAGCCGGCTTCAGCTCCGGCAGTCGTCACATGGCAGCGGCAGCTCTGGGGGCCAGGGCTAGTGTACAACCTGGCCCCCTGAACCTCTCAGTGCCAGCCGTAAACCTTAGACACCCCCCAACACCAGCCACTGACCCCAGAGTCTCCTGCACCCTCCTGGTGCCAGCCTCCAACACTCAGAGCCCCTCACGGCCAACCCCCATCCAAAATACCTCAGTGCCAGCCCCTACCTCTTAGAGCCCCCATCCTCAGTGCCAGCCTCCTGTTTCCAGAGCCCTACTGCACTCAACCCCAATACTCCCTCAGTGTCAGCTTCGTTCCCAGAGCCTCCCAGTGCCTGCCCCTGTAATCATCCATTACTAGCCCCAGACTCCCCAACCCGGATGCTCCAGTATTCCCCAGTGTCAGTCTCCTGCCTTTTAGAGCTCCCCAACCCTTAGAGCTCCCTAGCACTAGCCCCACCCTGGAGCCCCCAGTGCCTATCCCACCCCCCTCACCTAGCCCTGTGCTGCCTTCCAGCCACTAGCTAAGCGCTGAATGATGCAACTTTCAGAAATCAAGAGATAGCTGTGTCTATGATGAATTTTTGTCTCATGAACCAGGATTAGTATTCCTTAGGGAGAGAAGGAAGTGAGTTAAGGGAGGAGTTAGAAGGATGTCTTTACCCCTGTGGACTCTCTGTGGACTGGCCCCT